AGGCCGGTAGGCGTGGCGCTTATGCCGGCAGTGAGTCCGGGGTGTCCAGTGGGGTGCGGCCGGACCGCGCGGCCTGGCCGAATGGCGGGGGGGGGGGGTCAGGTCCGGGCCTGCGCGCACAGGTCGCAGGCTCTCGGAGGTGTCCTGGGGGGGCTCCGAGTGCGGGAGAGAAGGGCCCTGTCTCCCGAGGCTTCACCGCTTGCCCCCTGGGTTCTTATTTCTTTTGGACTTTCAGGCCGATTTTTTAAATTGGCGCCTCCCGCACGTGGCATCCCTGGACGAGTTGGGCCGGGAGCCCAGGTCCGGTCCTGTTGAAGGAAGGGCTGGGCTCTATGGCCCAACAGAAAGAGCTGATGGTGCGAGTGCCCAGATACCCAGGGTTAGTCCCGTGCTAAGGGTGACTCCATTGCTATCCCCCTCCAACCTGACCTCACCCAGCTCAGCTTGACATTAATCAACAGTTTTTAAAAGCGTTTCTGTCCTAAAATAAAATGAAAAAGAAAGAAAAGGCAAACAACGCCCCCTCCGCATTCCCCGAAAACACACACACACACACACACACACACGTGACAGCTGCTGGTGTGGCAGGAACGTCATCATTGGCCTGAAGTCCTTAACTCTCCACTGACGATTTCTGGGTCTAACGGTTTTCCTATGAAAATGAGGGAGTGGAAAGAAATGACCCCCCGCCCCCCGAGTTTCCATGCTTTTTGCTGTCATTAAAACATACTTTCTAAGTATTTGCTGCTTGCTTTGTTTCAATCATGTAATGCTAAACTGACACTCCTCTGCTTGTCTCTTGTGTATTTTTTGGTTTAAGGACTAACGTTAAAAAAATTTATAGTTTATTGAACATTTAAAATGTGTCCACCGTAGTCAGTTTTGAGCATCTCGATAAATAGTTGCAAATGAAAATCATTATTCCTTCAACAGGAGATAGTCACTGCTAATATTTGGTCCATTTCTTTTAGCCATTAGTGTGTATATGTTTTTAGTACTTCTTATGTATATTTCCTTTAAAAACACAAAATTGGGACTCTGCTGTATATGCTGCTTAAAACCATGGCAATATATCATGAATGTCTTTTCGTAACTTGGAATATTTTGACCCAAGTGGTAAGTTTAAATTAACCTGGGGGGGTTTTCAACTGGGCTATTTTATTTTATTTTAGTAAGAGAAAGTTTATAGAAAGTTGCAGAAGTAGCAGAAGAGCCCTTAAAACTTCGAGAAAGAAGGAGAGCGATTTGTGCCTTGAGGGATGAGAGGAGAGTCGGGCGTGTCCTCAGGAAAAAAGAGAGAGAGCAGCTCTCTGTCTTATTTTGCTTATTCTGCCCCTTTCTGTCTTTTCTGGACGGGACTGTGTCGCACCCACACGAGGACCATAAGCAGGGGCTCTGGGCCTTGGTCCTCCCTTCCCTCCACTGTCGCTGTGTTGCTGTGGTCACTGCTCTCGGGTGGATGCAGGAGACCAGTGGCCCAGACCTGCCACTTCCTAGCATGTCATTGATGTTGGGCACGTTGATGAACCTGTGTGCCGATTGCAGTGAAAAAGGCAGTACGGTGCATGAGGCACTGACGTGTGAGTGTGAATGTTACTTTTACTGATTCTGTGCCTTTCCTCTGGAATTCCTTCAGACCTCGGTGCTGGGTGGAACTGCAGGATGATGGTGAAGGCAGCCGCTTCCTTCTGAAGATAAATGTGAGAGCTGCCACTGAGAGCTGTCATGTTATCCAGGAAACTGCCAAGGTAGAAACAAAACAAAGCCCCACAATGAAGGGCTTAGGCTTCCATTGGCTGAGGGGACATTCAGGGGGAACTTCTCCCACAAGGGCCAACTTCCAAAAACATGTTTTTTAAAATTGATTTCAGAGAGGGAGGGAGAGATGGAAACATCAATGATGAGAGAGAATCATTGATCAGCTGCCTCCTGCATGCTCCTTACGGGGGATCGAGCCCACATCCTGGACATGGGCCCTTGACCAGAATCAAACCTGGGACCCTTCGGTCCACAGGCCGACGTCCTAACCACTGAGAAAAACCAGCTAGGGCCAAAACATTTTTTAAATTAAAGTAAAATAAGGGTGAGTTCTCATTGTTCTGAGTAGCAAACCTAATTGCATCAGAAATATTTTCCAACTACCATACTGATGGCTTATCATGCCCTGTTCACCTGAAATTTTCAGTTCAGTATATTCTCTGCAGTAAGCTTTCTAAGATTCTATCTGCCTAAAATAGAACATCCTTAAAGCTTCTTTTTAAAATTTGTGGATTTTTTTTTCTTTTTAAACTTTTTATTGTTTTTTTTTTTTAAAAAGAAGAGAGGAGAGAGAAAGGAGCATCAATGCAGGACAGAAACATCAATCGGTTGCCTCTGGTACACGCCACAACCAGGGATCAAACCTGCAATCTGGGCATGTGCCCTGACCGGGAATTGAACCCGCCACAACCTGGTATATGGGATGACGGTCCAACTGACTGAGCTACAACTCGGGCCCGGGCCACAGCTCCTCTTAAAGTGACTTACACTTCACTTTCCGCAGTGAACATTAAATGGATCTCAGACTTACTTTATTTCTGGTTTATTTTTTTTACTCGAGGGTATATTTTTTGCATTGATTTTTGAGAGTGGGAGGGAGGGAGAGGAAGGAGGGAGAGAGAGAGAGAGAGAGAGAGAGGGAGGCATCGATGTGAAAGAGGCACATCAGTTGGTTACTTCCCACATATGTCCCTACTGGGCCGGGGATCGAACCTGCTACCCAGGCACTTGCCCTGGACTGGAAATGGAACCCTGGACCCTTCAGTGTATGGGCCGATGCTCTAACCACAAGGAAACACCAGCCAGGACCCTGATATTACTTCATCTGTCTGCAGAGACATAGACTTCTACTGTTCTTTCCCACCAGTCCCACTCCTGCCCAGTAACCCTGTTTCAGTTGTATAGGAAACACCCTCTGGCCTTAGATGGTCATGAATTCCTGGTTCGTAGCAAGAGAACATTTGAGGTGCAGTGTGACTATACCAGTTGAAGTGCATTTGTCCCTAAGTCCGTAGATCCTGGTTTCTCACACATGAGCCTCCTCTTGCAAGATAAGAAAGGAGTTCCTGGAGCCAAGAACTCATTCCCAGCGTCCGAGACCCAGCCACGACCTCACACCAGAGCTCTGGGGCGCGAGCAGAGGAAGCGCGGCACAGAAAGAGCTCAGATTTGCTGATCACCTCACACAGGGAACAGAAAATGACCACGTTACAGGTGAGTGGATTGTTTATTCCTGGTTATTTTTCCAGGAGATTGGAAGTATGTAAGTTTTCCAGTGAAAAAGAAAAATAGAAATAGTTAAGGAATTAGGGGAAAATAGCTTCAGAAGAAAAATCTGTACTGGAACAAAATTGGAGCAGTAATACATTAACTATAGGCCCTTGTGATACTCTTAAGGTTTTCATTGTTATAGGCCATAATTACTGAATATGAGCTGCACTGTTGGTTCTCAATGTCTTGGGCAGATGTACTAAATAAATATGAACACTTATGTGAGTTGTATTGTCCAAAGAGAAAAGCAAATTAATTCTTCATATAAAGCAAATATTTATATGCTCACTCGTTGTTGAAGTCTTTTAATAAATGATATAGTGGGTAATGTCCTCAAGAGAAACATTGTAATAAACACACGTGTCTTATGGCCATTTTTCACAATTTTCCACAGAGTGTGACTATAAGTATTTGTTTACCTCTTTAGTTGTGAAGCAGAAACACATGCAGAATAAAATTAAAAGAAAAAATATGCAGAAAAGTAAACAAAAGGTAACAAGTACAGTTTGATGAATGATCAGTTGAATACACATGAAATTCCCCTTCAGGTCATAACGTCTCCCACCTGACAGAGAAGACCCGTGACCTCCTCCGTGTCACACTCCCCTCTGACCGAGGACAGCCTCGTGATGCCCTGTCCGTCAAACTTCTCCCCTCAGCGGGAGCCGGGACCCAATTTCATAGCCGTTTTCCTGCTTTTCTGTACAGTGTCTTTCTGAGTATTCATCCTGAATCCCTGTAGTCTGGTTTTGTGTGCTGGCGCAGAGACTCACCTCTGTCCTTTCACTTACCTGTTTGTTTGCGGCATCATTGCAGTTACAGTGAGGAAAGTGAAAGTGTAAGTGTTTTTATGCATCAAAATGATATTTTTGTTTATCATGCTTCTTTTAAATCTTGGTTTGTCCCAATAATTCCATCTAAGGCAGTGGTTCTCAACCTTCCTAATAACCTTTAATACAGTTTTCATGTTGTGGTGACCCCCAACCATAAAATTATTTTTGTTGCTACTTCATAACTGTAATTTTGCTACTGTTGTGAATCGTAATGTAAATATCTGATATGCTATGTGTGTTTTCCGATGATCGCGACCCACAGGTTGAGAACTGCTGGCTTAGATGGAGTATTTTATTAGGCGTTGCAAAACGATAACATCCCACTTCTATCATTTTTTCTTTATTGACTGGATTACTGCTTTCTAGCTTGGCAAGATATATCAAGGCTGTTTGTATACCCCCCCAACCCCACCTGCAATTAAGATAAAATAGTAACATAAAATGTATTTATTTATTTTTCAAAAATTTTTTTAATTGATTTCAGAGAGGAAGGGAGAGGGGGAGAGAGATAGAAACATCGATGATGAGAGAGAATCATTGATCGGCTGCCTCCTGCACACCCCCCACTGGGGATCCAGCCCACAACCCGGGCACAACCCGGGCCTGTGCCCTTGACCAGAATTGAACCTTGGATTCTTCAGTCCACAGGCCGACACTCTATCCATTGAGCCAAACTGATTAGGGCTGTCAAGACTTTTTATAACAAATAAAGGTTAATTTTTCAATTTTTGGTGTATTAATTTTATTTAATCTGTTTATTCATTTTCATACTATTTATTCCTTATGAAATCTAGACCTTCTTTTTGAAAAATTTAAATGTGCTTTTAAAAACTCTGTGTTAGGTGTATCTATATTTGCAGTTCCTGTGTTTGCATGTTTCCGTTTTCAGGTATACTTTGCATCTCTTGTGATTATATATTTTTTCTTACTCTACTAAGGTAGTGAATATCATTGACTTTTTTAAAAATGGTAAACCAACTTGGTCTTAATATACTTTGTTCTTTATATATTGCTCAATATAGTTTGGTAATATGTTTAGGATTTTCATCAGTGTTTTTGTGTGGGTTGGCTTTTGCTTTTTTTTTCTTGCAGTATCCTTATTGGGTCTTATTACCAAGATTATACTGGTATCAAAAAGTTGAGGGTTAAATTCTTGCTTTAATATGCTCTATGAGTTTAGTAAAATCGGAATCATTACTGCATTAAATGTTTACAGAATTAACTGGTAAAGCCTTTTTTGTGTTTATTAAGATTTTAACTCAGGGGACCAATACGTTTCACATGCCCAATGCATATGTTTTAAAATCATTAAGGGTAAATGAGTCACTCAAACAAGATAAAACAATAGATTTTAATGTGACAGAATATGACAAGTTTTATCATTTTTATTTTGCCAGCACCTCTTCTGGTACCAAATTTGAGGTTAGGTATTTTATTGGTTCAGAAGATGTAAAGGTGTGTGGTCCAGTTCTTGTGTGTTACATAAACAGAAGGATGGAAGAATTAATAATGGCATTTTATCCATAATGTGAGGCAAAGGTAGGGGCACAGTAGGCATTGTCTAGGACTTGCTAGGCTAAGAATTATGTTCTCAAGCTCCAGTACTTCTTTTCTGCGTCAGGGAGTGGTAACTGATTCAGTTTCACCAGGATTGTGCTTTTACAGGAGTCAATCTCATTTGAACATTTATCTGTGGACTTCACCCAGAAGGAGTGGCAGCTGCTGGACCCGTGTCAGAAGGACTTATACAAGGATGTCATGTTGGAGAACTACAGCAGCCTGGTGGCACTGGGTAAGGACGCTTCCCGGAGGACCTCATGGTGCCCGGTACTTTGCTTTTGCTGTTTTTGTTGCTGAGAGTTGTAGGACTTCTGAAATTGCTAATGATTTTGGATCTAAATATAGAAGTCCAAAGTTCCTTGGACTACGGCCCCAGGGAAAGTATTTGGATGAAGACTTCAATAATGAAGTCTGTCGTCGTGCCGCCTCCGAGACTCAATAATGGCCGCACTGGTGCTGGTAGCACCAAACGTAGACAACTCACTGTGTTCCACACACTGTTCATTATCGACTCCGTCATCATTAGGGTAACCCTGTGGGACAGGAATGGTTAGTCTCCTTTGTTTTCCTAATGAGGACTTTGAAGAAAGGAAGGTTCAGTAACTTTCTAAAGGACTGACAGCTGGGAAATGAAAGAGCCTGGATTTGATGGAACCCAGGCTCACTTCACTGGCCTTAAGCCTCTGAATCGCTTAATGGTTTTGGACAGGAATCAAAATTAAGTCAAAGATTCTTAAACCCTCTTAGCCACCAGGGAGACCATTACCATTTCTTTGAGAACTACTTACTCTGTTGATATACAAATGATTAGCTTAACTGAGTCTATTCTGATGCCAAACCGTGCCCATTCCTCAGGGGCCATAAGGCCCAAGCATTCAGGGCCAAAACCTCTGTGATTTCCCTGGAATAGGGTATGAATTTATGAAACCTGATGTCATTTTCAAGTTGGAACAAGGAGAAGCACCGTGGATAGAAGATGGAGAAGTTCCAAGTTCAGACTCTCCGGGTGAGTGTATAAGAACCAGGCAGATGGGAGACGCTACGATCTCAGCTGGTTATGGGGGGGCGTCTTTGCCATGTGCTGTGGGTGCTCCTTTCAAATTCTCTAAACCTCTGACACCAGCTATCAAGTACATCCTCTTTTTACATGTGGCTTCTTGCTTTTGGCTAAAGTGAAATGGTTCCAGGGTCATGATGTCATCTCCCATCTGTCACATCTTGGTCTTTGACTTTTTGGTTTTCTGCCTCCGGCATGTTACTCTCCTTATGTCCTCCCTTCTCCTCTGGTTGATGAAACCTCTATTCTGTACATTTAAGAGTTTTTCTTTTTTTTCCTCATTTTGGGCGTGTCTGATGCCCAGAGAAATACCCAGTGAAAGCCCACTCTGTTCAGTCTTACTGTATTAGAGAACAGTCATTATTCCTCCCAAAGAGTTTGTTCTTTTCCTCCCTTTAAAAAAATATGTTTTTATTTATTTGAGAGGAAGAGAGAGAAAGATAGGAGCATCAGTGATGAAAGAGAATCATCGATTGGCTGCCTTCTGCATGCCCCACACTTGAACCGTGACCTCCTGGTTCATAGTCTACGCTCAAACACTGAACCACACTGGTCGTGTTATAACCAATGTCATTTTTCTTTATAGAACAAGACTTTCAAGTAAATAGTCACATGATGTGGAACCAGGATAACCAAGGGAAGCCTAAAAATACGAAACAAGATTATGAATGTGATGCATTTGGAAAAAATTTCAGTCAGAGCATAAACTTTGTTCCTTTAAGGAAATCAAACAATGAAGGTGATGTAGATGGATTAACGTTAAAACGCCATTTAGATTTACTTCTTCCAAAAGCTGATTATGGAAAAATAGAGCGAGATGACTTAAATGTATTTGATAAATTGTTTCTCCATACCAAGCCTGAGGAAACTGATACTTGGTTAAAACATTATGAGTGTGATAAATATGATAACGTTAACTATAAGAAGTCACAGATTATCATCTATCACAGAAATCGTTTAGGGGAGAAACTTTATGAATGCAGTGAATGTAGGAAGCGCTTCAGTAAGAAATCCAGTCTCATGAAGCACCAGAGCAGACATATGAGAGAGATCGCCATTGGCTGTGGTAAATCTGACAAAACCTTTCCGCAGAAGTCACAGTTCATCACACATCACAGAACTCCTACAGCAGAGAAACCTTACGATTGTAGCCAGTGTGGGAAAGCCTTCTCCCAAAAGTCACAGCTCACATCCCATCAGAGGACACATACAGGAGAGAAACCATATGAGTGTGGGGAATGTGGGAAAGCCTTCTCCCGGAAGTCACATCTGATATCACATTGGAGAACACACACAGGAGAAAAACCCTATGTATGCCACGAATGTGGGAGGGCCTTTAGTGAGAAGTCCAATCTTATTAATCATCAGAGAATTCATACAGGAGAGAAACCTTTTGAATGCAGAGAATGTAGGAAAGCTTTTAGCAGAAAGTCACAACTCGTTACACATCACAGGATTCATACAGGAACGAAACCCTATGGGTGTAGTGATTGTAGAAAAGCCTTCTTCGAGAAATCAGAGCTCATTAGGCATCAGACAGTTCACACTGGAGAGAAGCCCTACGAATGCAGTGAATGTCAGAAAGCATTCCGAGAGAGGTCGAGTCTCATTAATCATCAGAGAACCCACACAGGAGAGAAACCTCATGGCTGCATTCAGTGTGGAAAAGCTTTCTCCCAGAAGTCACATCTGATATCACATCAGATGACCCACACAGGAGAGAAACCCTTCGTATGCGTTAAATGT